CTCTCTCCTCCCCCTGCCCCTCCACTCTCTCTCCTCTTTCTGTCCCTCCGCTCTCCTCTTTCTGACCTCCCTGTGTCTCTCCTCTCTCCTCTCTCTGTCTCACCCCAGTCCCTTCCCTCTCTCTCCTCTCCCAGCCCCTGTCTCCTCTCTCTTCCCCCTGCTCCTCCACTCTCTCTCCTCTCTCTGTCCCTCCTCTCTCCTCTTTCTGACCTCCCTGTGTCTCTCCTCTCTCTGTCTCACCCCAGTCCCTACCCTCTCTCTCCTCTCTCCTCCCCCTGTTCCTCCTCTCTTCTCTCTATCCTCCCACTGTCCCTACTCTCTTTCCTCCTCCCTCCTCCTCTGTGTGTCCTCCCCTGTCTCTCTCCTCTTCCTCTGTTCTTCAGCCTCCCCTCCCCCCTACTCTCTGAAATGGTGGAGGGGTACTGAGAGAGGGAGCACTGCAGTGCAGATGAATTCATGCAGCAGGAGAGGCTGAGTCAGCAGCTCACACACAGCCCTGGCCACAGAATACATCAATGAGCTCCCAGTGAGTGAGTGTGTGTGTGTGGATGTGTGGAGGAAGTGAAGAGGTGGTATTCTGAGAGTGTGCAGCTCTCAAAAAGCCTAAGAAACTGTCTTGTTCTTTACATGTTTTCTAATTCCTGGGGAAATCCTTGTTCTTTTTCATTTTGAAGCAAATTGCCAAGACGATGCCTTATAAAGTGTGTGACTTTCGCTGCTATATAATGGAATACCTCCTTGTCCCTGCATCACAGGCAAAACACAGCCAGCATCAGGAAACCAGACTCCGCTGTGTTTGGGTTTCCAGGCCAGTGCACATCTTTATCAATGTTCACTGCAGCACCTGGGCTAAGCAGTTTAGAAACTGATTATAAAACCTAAAGGAGGTCATTTGGCTCATCTAGCCTGTTTAGTAGTTAGTAGTTAATTGATCTGAGGATCTCATCCACCTGTTTTATGAAAGCGGCCAGGATACTGGCTTTAATAGCATGACTGAGCAGCCTGTTCCATACTCCTACATCCCTTTGTGTAAAGACATGCCTTCTCTTCTCAGTTTTAAATGCACCTTTATGTAAGTTTTGGCTGTGTCCCCTAGTTAAAACTTACAAAAACTCCTGGGCTGGCTTTATCTGACTGTATCTGGTCCCTCTTCTCTGGATACTCTAGAGCAGCAATACATTTCTGTGTCATGGTGACCAAAATTGTACACAATGTTCTAAATGTGCACAGTACAATCATTTACATCTCTTGATTTAAATCCTCTGTGATGGACTGGCATCCTGTCCAGGGTGTACCCTGCCTTCCATAGGGAATGGATGGGTGGATGAACACAAACAATGAGAAAAAATATTAATTTTGGCTTCTTTCAATGAAATTTAATTAAGCCTCAGTCCTGCCAGCAAGTATGCAGTCAATCAGACTCTCGAGGCAGGGCTTGATGAAGACCACAGCACTTACCCAGGTGAGCTGTGTGTTTGTGCAGTGTGAGTCAGCACCCTGCTGCTGACATTCTGCCCAGGCTCCAGTCCTGGTGCATGCGGGGCTTTCCCTAAGAAGACAACCAATCCGAGGATTGGGATCCTAATTAAAAAGCGACTGAGATTCTGGAGGACACTGGTTAGTTAGGCAGCCTGCCTGGGTCCAGACACAGGAGAGAACAATTCCTGAAGCAGACTGAGGTGGGAGATTAATGGTCATGTCTTCACCCTATCTTCACGACAGGAGCCTGGGATTGCACCATGGAGACACAGGCTCTACCTCCCTCTACAGCTCAACACTGTCAATTAACCTTTACACCTTTAAACCTTTTATATAGTGCATTTTCACAGTAACCTATTCCAATGACAGAATGTAACATGATGTAACTGAGAGATAAGAAGCTCACTCTAAAAACTAGACATTCTCAAAGGCAGGGACACAGGTTAACGTGACCGTTTTTAAAAAACATATCAGCTATGTATTTTAGAAACATTTGATTTTAACCTAAATTTCAGATAACAGAACACAAGGATTTCCCTTCAAATGTAAAGTACCCTTCTTCTGATTCTTCATTAACCCCCATGGAGCCAGTTGAACTTTGACATTGATTAGATCTGGGGTCCACAAGTCTGGTTCTTAATGGAGGTGTCTTTAAATCATCAGGAGCTTCAGATCAGTGCAGGAGGGTAAAAGGGTCTAATTAAACATTAATTAAGCTTGTCTGACCCTTTTTGCGAGGTCTTACTTATGAGGAGTATCATCTGGTTCCTCTTCCAGCTGAGATCCATTACAAAGTGAGTCTAATTATTTCATTAAATGCAGAACTGTAATACTACTCGCCAGGCTCTGATGTGTTTTATAGGTCACTGTTTCTTTAATGAAGTAGCCTTTTTGAGTAGTAGTTTGAAGTAGCCAACCGTAAAAGAACCTGAAGTCATTTGACTTCGTCATGACTGGAAAGCAAGGTGCTCATTGTCTTCTCTTTCACTTCTCATTTCTCCCTTTGTGTACGCGCTCATCTACTGCACCCATTGCCCCTAAATACTGTACAGTACTCGGCAACTGTTCATCGCTGACTTACGTCTGATGTCATCGGCGCCGTTCATTGGCTGTTGTGTGCCGCCAGTCACGTGAGAGCTAACTCTGCATGGTATTAAAGGTGTGCTTGTGCTAACAAATAGGCTTGCAAGACCTTGTGGGCAGCAGAACAGCCGACAATGTGGGAAGAGGGGAGACTGATGTGTATATACTGTACAGTACAATGCTTCTGAGGGACACAAAACTTAGTATCAGGCATGCGACAAAATTCTGGGACATTTAATGCCCTTGGAAGTATTACAGATTTCCTGGGACAGCTACCTTAAAGAGAGAACGATCCTGGCAACACCTGGATAGGGGCTAACCTTAATCTGCACTCCCTGGAGGGCTCAAAGCCAGTGACTGTAAAGCAATGAGACAGTCCTGGAACATTGTTAGAGGTCTTGACTGGAATATTGAGAGTGGAAGCAGGAAGGAAGGAATGAGAGGAGAGGTACTGTGTTCCAGGAAACAGAGAGGAGATTATGAAGCGTGCAAAACAAGCATCTCTGCTTTTTATTTTTTAGATTGTGCTGAAGCAGCAACGGAGATGTCCAATCTGCAAAAAAGGGAGCGATGCCTAGTGCCACCTTGTGGACAGTTCTTAAAACTACAACTAAAGCCTGCCCTGCTGGCTACTGCTAAGGACAAATCATTAACCCCTCAATCTCCAGTTCTGCAGAAACACTGAAGGCTACCCATCCTGAGTCCTAATGAAATTGACAATCAACTGAAAATATGTCAACTACATATTGTCCTGGGTCTGCTGTTAGCACTGTAAACCAGGGCACTCTTTGAGAGGGCAGAGAGGATGGAGACTTACAGGATGCGTCAGCTATATTGATCAGCATTAAATATTGATAGTTATTAATCTGGAAACATGGTGGTGGAGTGGGGAGGACAGGAAGTGTACAACCATACAGTAATGTCAGTAATGCACTGTACTTTAATCCATACCATCTATAGACGTATTGATTTTCCAAACTCTTGCACAGCTCAGAGCATTATAGACCAGAGCAGGAGACCAGCGAACTGCACCAGAGGTTACAAAGAGGGACGCTGCTGTGGCTGCCAAGGCTCGGGTTCGAGCTGGGAGGCAATCTGCTTACAACTTCATTTTTAAGAGGGGGATAACAATATCCAAGACCCGAAGAAGCTGTGAAGAATTAAAAAACAATGGATGTTAAAAAACATAAAAAATGACAGAATCCTTGTAGCTATCAGAACACGCTGCATGCCGGAACTCGATCTCTTCGGTTTCTCTGCGCAAGACACCTGACAGGGGATCTGAAGGGGGTTTGGGGAATTTAAAGGGAAGAAACAAGGCAGATCCTTGACCTGATTCAGTTATTCCAGAACCTCAAGGGCGCTGACAAAGACAACCCAGCAAACGTCTTCAGAATAAACACAAGCTGAAGGACACGAGCAGAAACTACTGTACGTGGAAGTACAATTAAAACTGAGAATAGGAGCCATGTTGTTGAAGCTAATACTCTGGATTATTTTGAGAAACAGATGGAGGAGAGATCCTCCGACGGCAGGCGGAGCGACGCGCCGGTTGGAGTATTTTCTCGGTCGCATTTAATGGCAACGTCAGCTCAAAGATTTGGTTCAAACCACCAAATGGAGACGGGCGTGCCGACAAGCAGACCCTGCTGATGCGGGATTAACACTAGGATGAGAGAGAGAGAGAGATCCTGCAATTAGGACAAGAGGCATGTCTTTGCACAAAGGGTGGTGGGAGTGTGGAACAAGCTGCCCAGCCAGTTGCTGAGGCCAATAGCCTGGCTCCTTTCAAGAAAATGAGAGCGGGAGGCAGTTCATTACGCAATGGGTGGGGGGAGCCTGGAACAAGCAGCTCAGCCATGCTATCACAGCTGGGATGAGATCCTCAGATCAATTAACTACTAACTACCAAGCAGGCCAGATGGGCCAAATGACCAGCATCTTAATGTGTGCTGTTAGCTGCACAGAAGCAGAGTTTATGCAGGCACTGAATCTCACAATAACAACGAATAATACCCACACTCTAGCAGGAATATTACGAACTAAGCCCAGTGCCATTTTCTTTCTACTAAGGTCACATTGAGATCTGCGATGATCCACGCTCCAACCTATCTCTGCAGTTTCATATAGTTGGTCAAACAATTTGACACCACGTAGCTGTTCCGTTACAATATCAGGTATCAGTTACATTTGGATACGTTTTGGTTAAAATTATTTTCACCAAAACCCTGCGCCTTCACCTGAAATCCTCAATATTGTGGGAACGCCATAAATCCCCCTTTCTCTAGATAGAGGGCGGTGGAAAATGTGAGAGAACTCTTCGCAGAATTCTAATCCCCTAACCTTATATTAAATTATAAACATTAAGCATCGCTTTAAAGCGCAGGAGTGATAATTTGCTCCTACCTGACTTTTTTTCGGAGAATTTTGGCTGCCTTTGGTGCGTTTTGCAGCGCTCGGGAACGGCATTCTAAAACGGAGTCGGATCAAAAGTTGTAAGAAAACTTTTTTCTACTGAAGACTGAATTTCCAAGACCGTTTTTCAATGGTTTTGATGGTTTTAGACGTGCACTTCTTGATTTAAGGAATATTTGCATTTGGAGGGCTTCGGAGACAGATTGCAGGATTGGTCTGTTGAAGCCCTAGCTAGGGTTAGGGTTAGCATCCCCACACTACTAAGACATTGTATTTTTCGGAGACTCTCGGCTGCCTCTGTGGTGTACGGTGTCAGCGATCACGTGGCGGCGCCCTCGAGAGGGGTTCGCGAGCCGTCGCGGTTTGGCGCTTTCTGACTGCTGATGTTCACAGCGGCGGAGGCGAGAGGACTCCGATCGTTAGCCTCTGTCTCTGATATTTAACTGTGGTTTTGCTTATATTCGTGCGCGGGAATGGCGTACGGGCTCCGTCCTCAGTTCCCGCCCAGAGAGACCGGCCGCTCTGCTCCGCCCGCACCTCTTGCCGTCGTCCCTGATATAGAGGCCGCTGGCCTGGAGTGGTTTGAAACGCTAGCTGCGGAGTCAGGTACGAAAAAACGAAATAAAAAAAAGTATAAACCACTCGGTAGCTTGGCGTGAAACAGACGCAGATGTCGTGGAATGATACGTCGGCCATGGCATTAAAGCCAGTTCCCTCTCTGAGCCACGTCTGTATATTACAACAGCGGTGTGGAGGGAATGGAATGGTCATGGTGCAAAACGGATCTTATGGAGCAGGGAAATGGCCGTCTTTATATATCGCTTTGCAGTCTTAACGTCTGAACATACCGTACTAACTTACACTTACATTAAAACGGCCCGACAGATCTAACGGGGATTTGCGGCCCCGCGCCAGCCGGTAGGTGGCGTTCGCGTTGCCGTGGTGACCGGCCCCCGTGAAGCGCACACCGGAAGAGGAGAGGCTCGAGCCGGGCTCGCGCGGGGCCGCGGCAAGGTGAAGCTCGACTGCTGAAACGTTAGTTCTAGGTTGCCAAAGCAATTCTGAAGAGCTGCTGTGTTCTTTCTCCGCAAAAATCCTTAAATGGAACTGATTGAAAAGGGGGATGGCAAAGAATTGAAGAAAAATCGGGTGTGGCAGGGACAGGAGACGGTACAGGATTGAAGGCGTTCTAACGCCGTGCTCTTGCATTTATACGCAGGGCAAAGCGCAGACCAGGGAGTACCTTTGTCTCCTCTTCGTGGGGCACCAGTGCCAGAGATCACCCTCAGTTCTCCCTACACCAGTAAGTCTTTCTGCAAAATAAAGTGCAGGGGTCCCTGGAGTATTTGGGCATTCTAGCATTCTAGCTTTTCTGCTATCTCATTCCTTTCCTCTGTCTCTTTAAAAGACGATGAATTTCCTCGCTGACACCTCAAGAACGCATTAGGTAAAAAACAATGTGGATAATGTTTGTTTAGTCCATTGATTCCCAGTCCTGGTCCTGGTGCCCCTCACACCTGCTAATTTTCATTTCACTCACCTTCAGGAGATCACTGAAGCCTCACTTGATCTACAGTAAGAAGTTGCTTCGCTGGAGCATTTGCCTTTTGTTTCTACTCACAAGCTTGAGATTTTATGTCATTTACAGAATACGACAGTTAAGAGCTCCAACATGTTTAAGAGCCGAGAACCAGCAGTTCAGAAGAATCTCATCATTATCAAGTCAGTGGAGGGTTTGATTGTGTAACTTAGGGCTCGGCTGGAACACAAACCAGCAGGTGTGTGGGTCACCAGGACTGGGAACTACTGGTTTAGACCATGATAAAGTTTACAAAGGTTCAAACGTACTAAATGACACCAAGACATGGCTGCCTGCATGTCATGATGCTTAAGGTGCCTGGAAATCCTAGAGGTGGGTTTGGCTTCGCTTTCTCAGTCCGAGCTGCTGGTCTCTGCTTGGCTCCATGCACACATGGGTGTAAATTCGAACTGGACATACGAGTCTCCATGTGGTGGTAGTTGCTGTGGGTGTTGTTGTGCAAGGCTTTGTGTGGAACTGAAGAGAAGCCTGCTCAATAATGGCTCCTTGCCCCACAGTCTCCAGGCCTCAGGACCACCTTATTCAGAGAGGCCATAACAATGGTTGTGTGACAGTGTGTAGTCACAGTTGCCGTGGCGACCACTGGTAAAAACTCAACACCCCCGGTGAGGGGCAGAAGCACCAGTGTGAGGTTAGCAGGGTCCAAAACTAATGCAACAAGAGTGGAAAAAATAAACACAGGCCACACAGGGGTGCGGCCTCCCCCCGCCTGCCGCTGGCACACCCCGGTGTGGTGAGAGGCTAAAGAGGAGTCTTCACCTTGTTCTCGGGTCTGAGCTTCCAGGGAATTGCTCACACGAATCGTCCAGATCAACAGAGGAACACGGGGCTTGAGTAAAATCTTACCGGGGTGGGTTAGCTTTTAATACACGTACAAGACGTCTTCTGCAGCCGCGGGCCAGATGACCTTGTGTGTGTGGTCCCTTCAAATCGAACCCTGCTGCAGCATGGCCCTCGGGCGCCAGGATCGGGGGACACTTCAGCAAGCAGCTCTAGTGGTGTTGATTACAGTATTTTCACACAGCACCACTCTGAGCCACAACAGACGCAGTTTGGAAGCTCTCATGTTCCCAGACCCCCTTGATCAGCAGTTTTGAAGTGGTTGTTACTTGCATTTTCTTCTGTGCAACACTATGAAGTAGGCAGTTTTTCTTTCAATATCCAACAGTCCTTTCTCTTTAACACAAAACTTGAACACATTGTGTTACCTTTACAGCATGCGTAGCTGTGAGCTGTTTTGAATTTAGAGAAGCTGCTCTTGTGGGATAGCCAGTTTTTGGAACAGCTGTTGCGAGCCCTGTGGCTGTGCCGGGGGAGTGAGGAAGTGCAGGCAGACTGCTCCTTTAAGCCATCAAGCAGGCGCCGTGGCTCCCTACCAGCGGATCTGCACATGGGTCACCAAGAGAGCCCTGCCGACTGTCCTCAGCCAGTTGTGCACTGCCTCTTGGGGCATCCTGGTTAGTGCCAGCGAGCGACATGGCCCAGGCTGGAACCGGTGATCGCAGAGCTTGCCGTGTGCCCCGTACTGGCTGAGCCACTCTGGAGTCCCTCTGAATGCTTTTTAATGGTGCAATTGCTCCATCTGCTGGGCTGCCAAGGGACTTGCAGACTGGAGTAACAAACGCAGCAGCACCAGCTGCGCCACAGTAACTGATGTGACAGTTTGAGAAGGCACGGTGAAAGCTGGTTAGGCTCGTTTAACTCCCTCTTCTAGTGTGAGAGGTGGAAAAACAGACATGGGACAGGCCAAGCAACATATAACGGACCATTCTAAATAAGGTGGCACCTGAGGCCTGGAAACTGTGGGTCAAGGAGCCATTATTCAGCAAGCTTCTCTTCAGTTTCATATAGAGCTTTACACAACAACACCCAACGGCATGATATGGTCATTCTTATATCAAATTCTAATTTCACACCCATGTATGCATGTGGTATTCCTAACCCTTTACCTAATTGGTGAATAAATAATTCACCTCAAGTGATCCTATGCTGTACAAGTATAAGCAGCCTCACGTAGAAGGTCAGATGAAGTCTCTCAGGCCCAACCTGCCACACATGGAACTTATTTACAGATGTGTTTCATTGTGAAATCTGAGACTCACAAGAAAAAAAAAACATATGATTCCTCTTTGGGAGCCCCTGCTGCTCTTTGTTTCCATTGCTAACTAAAAGATTGGGTGGATAACCACTTACTAAATGTTAAAGAATCCATAAACCATTTTGTCCTCTTCCAAGCTGGCCTAACTGTGGTTGCCATACTCTTTTAAAGGGGAACTGCTGTCAGTTTCTCAGACCAGTTATTAAATCTCAGAGAACAAATACGTTAATTGATGGTATTGCAAAATTTGGCCAATTCTGAATTTGAAATCCACAACTTTGTGAAAGTACCGTATTGTCCGATGTTGTCGCACACCGCTGGTCTTGCCAGCAAGAGTAAGAGTTTGAAAGAATTGTGATATGAAGCAGTCTTTCCTGCTCACTAGTCACCATAATGTCTAATGTACTGCAAGAAAATCTGAGAAAATAAGTACAAGATGTGCAGCATTGCAGTTCCCCTCCAAACTCCAAGAGATAGCCGTGATTTCAAGTCACTCAACCTGGGGTTACAGCCTGTCAGCCTTTCTCCTTCTGATTGCCTACTTTGAAATGTTGTCTCCTGTCCCCTGTTTACATGGAAGGAGGACTACAAACTTAAGCTAAGATATAGAGTGTACATGTTTAACACACTTCATTACACACTCTCTTTTCTATATTTGCCCCATGTTCTGACACAGTAGATTTGTGTTTTGTAATTGATGTTATGCCAGTTTTAAATCAAGAAAGGTTTCAGATTAGAGGAAGCCATTCAGACCATCTTACTTGTCTGGTTGCTGTATTTCCAAGCCAAGGAACAATGTAACTCTGATTAGTTAAACAGGTGTCGTGTTCAATTTGGTCATTTAGAGCTCACGTGAAACAAAAATCAGAATTTCCTTTAGCCCACCAGAGTCAGAGTTCCCTATGTTGAAACACCCATCCATTTTCTAATGTCAGAGTAACAGGGGCGCTGGAGCCTGTCCCAGCAATCCCAGCAAGCAATGGGCACAAGGCAGGGTCCATCCCGAATGGGGCGTCAGTCCATTGCAGGGCACACAGACACTCACACTCACACCAGGGTTAATTTTCCCAGAAGCCAGTTAACCTGCCAGCATGTCTCTGGACCAGAGCACAGAGGAAACCCACATGGACACAGGGAGAACACACAAACTCCATGCAGAGAGCAGCCAGGAATTGAACCCAAGGCCCCAGCACTAACCCTGACCATGCCGCCCATGTCAAAACATTAGGTGTTCCTAATCTTTAAACTACGGGTAATGTCAGATTACATACAAAAACAACTGGCCTGGGGCTCTCCGTGACCAGAAGGATCCCTGCTTATAAGATAGAAGAAATAGGGAGCGAGCATAAGTCTTCCAGGGTAAGCTTTTCAGAAGATGTGCCAGGAATGTGAGCAGATTGCTTTCTTTTTCTGTTTTCCCTGTCAGGTTTCTCTGTGCCCTCCACACCGGTTCAGCCCGTTCCAAGGAGGGCCCAGAGCCTCGAGGATGGCTTGTATCTGGGAAGCCCGCTGTGCCACAGCACCCCCTCCCCTCCAGGTATCTTTCCTGCAGCCTTCTTTTTAACATAAGTATTGAATGCTACATGTGTAGCATTGATTGCTGCTTTGCCACACTGGGACCCAGTGTTCAATTCCAGATATGGAGTTTGAATGTTCTTGTATTCAGGCGGGTTTCCTCCCACGTTCCAAAGACATGCTGGTGGGTTTTTTGGCAAAAGTGGCCCTGGTGTGAGTGTCCTTCAATGGATTGGGCTTAACTTGTGTGTGCTGGACAAAGTGGCCAACTGTATTATACAGAGAATATTCATACACGGAGAACCAGCTCCATGCTCATTGTTGTCTTGCGTCATAATGTTTGATATTTTGGCAAGACTTTAATATGATTTGCAGTTATTGAAAAAAAGTCAAATACTTCAGTTTGCTCAACAGATTCTATGCGTACTGTATATCTTGGATTTTCCAGGAAGAGTAACTCGAGACAGCAACAAACCAATTTTTACTAAAAGTAGTGCAGGCATGTGTTTAGTTCACTGAGAGCTTAGCTGCAGTGGAAGACAGTTTCTTGGCACTGTGACTAGGGGAAAACCTTTAATGTGTCTACAGGGGTGAGGAGCATATTGGGAGGGAACATGTATCATGAGCTAAAAATTAATTTACATAAATCAATGGCAAGGCTTGCATTTCAGTATTGTTTAAGTCGTTATATTTATGTTTAAACATTTTGTGGTGCTGACAGACAAAAAACCACTTCACTTTAAATGACACTTGAAGATGGCGGTTCTTTCTTTTAAAACAAGGTTAATGTGATATACTATATCACATTACAGCCAGCTCTAAATGGAAATTAAGATGATATCATGTTTGAAAAAGTTTGAACTTTTTGGGTTTAAGGGTGTACCCACAGCCAGGCTGCAGGGTGTAGCCACAGTGGTTTAGCATCCATCATCCCATTGAGTGTGTGGAGCTGACAGCGACTGCCCTTAATCTCTGCTGGCTAGGTCAGATGGTGCCCGCCTCCCTGTTCAAGCACACCCCAGAGGGTGGCCACAGAAAGAAAAAGCAGCCTCTCGCAGGACCGCGGGAAGAGTGAGCCCATTCTCGTTTGGTAAGTGCAGCGGCCTTTTGTTTCATCTGGCTTGCAGCGTTTCATACAGCAGGTTTTACAGCATTTGCTCTGTGAGGCTGTGAGGAAACACACACCTTTTGCTTGGTGCGGGTAAGAGCAGAGTGACATTGGAACCACTCTAGAGGAACGAGAGGAAGTTGCATTGTAGCTAGAGACAGGGCTGGTTTTCCCAGACCAAGCCGAACTGTGTAGCTCCGAGCACACTGGCCTGTGGGCACTCTCGTGTCCTCAGTGTTGACTCTGGGACCACTCCGGGCCTGTGGGCATTATCGTGTCCCCAGTGTTGACTCTGGGACC